CGGGGGGCCCCTGCTGCTGCTGCTGCTGCTGCAGCGGCCCGCTGGGGGGCGAGGGGACGGGCGTGGTGATGTTGCTGCTGCTGCTGCTGCTGGCGCCGCTGCTGCTGCTGCTGCTGCTGCCGAGGCTGCTGATGCTGGGGGGGCTGGAGGCGTCGGAGTCCCCCGCAGCAGCGGCGGCCGCCGGGGGGCCCCTGCGGAAGCCCCGGAGCTGGGGGCCCCCCAGGGCCTCCAGGGGCCTCCGCCAGGGCCCCTGGGGGCCCCCCCCCTCCCCCAAACTCAGGGGGGCCCCAAAAGCCTCCCCCTGCGCATGCAGCCACCTGGAGAGGTGCAGCGCCAAAGTCAGCAAAGGAATGTCCACAATAATGCGGCAGTAAATGCTGAGGTGGAGGGCCCCCCGGGCCCCCGAGTTCCAGAGGGGCCCCCTGTCTTCGGGGGCCCTCCAGGGGGAGGGGCCCCCCCCCAGGGGGAGGCAGAGGCCCCAGACGTCGACGCCGCCCCAGGGCCCCTCGGGGGCCCCCCCGGCGAACCTGCTGCTGCTGCTGGGGGCCCCCGCGGGGCCCCCCGCGCCCGCAGCAGCCGCTGCTGCTGCGCTGCTGCTGCTGCTGCTGCTGCTGCTGGGGAGGGCCCCGCAGCCCAGGGCCTCGGCCCAGACGGGGAAGAAGTTGAAGTGGTCCAGCAGCGGGATGGCCGGGGGGGCCCCCGCGAGAGAAGCAAACTCTGCTGCTGCTGCTTGTGGGGTGATTAGTGCTGCATCAAGAAGGTCCAGCAGCCACAGACACAAAGCTGTCAAAGACACGAAGGGAGAAGACACCCCCACGCAGCAGCAAGCCAGAGGGTACAGCAGCCCGGGGGCCCCCAGGGCACTGAGGTGGAAGGCCCACTCTGCGAGCCGCCCCACAGCGGGGCAGAGGTGCAGCAGCACCAGCAGCGGCAGCTGCAGCAGCACGCTCAGCCGCGAGCGGGCCCGCGCAGCAGCAGCAGCAGCGCGCTGCTGCAGCGCTCTCCACAGCTCCAGGGGGGCCCCCAGGGCCCCCAGCGCCCCCAGGGGCCCCCGGGGGGCCCCCGCTTCCCAGGGGCCCCACACGCAGCCCAGGCCCTCGCCCTTCAAGGGCCCTGCGGCCCCCGGCAGCCGCAGCGCCAGCAGGCAGCTCCGCAGCAGCCCCGCCACGCCGCTCCTGCTGCTGCTGCTGCTGCTGCTGCTGCTGCTGCTGCTGCTGCTGCTGGCGGCGGGAGAGCCCCGCGGCCCCGAGGAGAGCGAAGGGGACCGCAGCTCCGAAGCTGCTGGCGGGCTGCGGCATGGCGGCGACGGCTGCCGCCTCCGGACGCTGCTGCTGCTGCTGCTGCTGTTGCTGCTGCTGCCGCTGCTGCTGCTCCCGCCGCCGCTGCTGCTGCTGCTGCTAACAGGCCCCGGAGTCACTTGGCCCCCTCTTCGACTCTCTGGAGGGTTACTGTCCATTGCAGCAGCTGCTGCTGCAAAAGAAAAGAAATGGTGCTTCTCATTCAAGCCCCTGCTGCTGCTGCTGCTCCTGCTGCAGCTGCAGATACACCTGAGCTCAACTTCCTCTACTGCAGCAGCAGCAGCAGCCGCAGCGCTTGCCGGTGTCTATTTCAGATGCGCGAGCTTTGCGCGTTGCTTCAGCTGTTGCAGCTGTAGCTTTCGCTGCTGCTGCTGCTGCTGTTGCTGCTGCAGCTGTTCCTGCTGCTGTTGCTGCTGCCGCTCCTTGCAGCTACCGATGCGGAGGCAATTAACCTTCGCCAAATACCCCCTAAGGGTCTCGTTAAATGAATTTGACTTATAAAAGCTCAAGACAATAGTTGATAAGCTTCGTAAAGCATCAGAAACTGCAGCAGCAGCAGCTGCTGCTGCTGCTGCAGCGGTAGGCCGCAAGTTGGCTCAGCTGCTGCTGCAGCCGCTCCTCAGCAGGCAGCGAATCTTTACTGTTTTCGTTTGCTTATTAAATTTAAATAATGCAAAAAAGAAGAAAAGGCAATTATTGCTGCTTTCCAAGCAAAGACAGAGCAGTACAGCTGACGAATAGCAGCAGCAGCAGCACAGCTGCTCAGTGGACCGCTGCAGCGACCGTGTCGGCGTCAAAACGCGAACGAAAAAACAATTAATTGAATTTGAATTTAAAAAAGAGATTCAAAACTAAAGAAATAATTCATTTGTCCTCCGCGGTGACGCGAGCGGCCGGCGGCCGCTCGCGCGTTCGTGGGGTGTATGTACACCTCAGCTCCAGCGAGCCGAGTTGCCATTTCTGCCATCTTTCAAATTTAATTGAAATTCATTTTTCTCTTTTTGCAGCAGCAGATAATTCCTTGCTGCTGCATTCCGGTGTACGTACACCGCAGTTGCAGCAGCAGCTAGACACACAAGGCCGAGGCCGAAAGAAAAAGAAAGAGAAACAAAAGATGCAGCAAACAAAGCCTTCCAGCAGCCTTAGACCAGCAGCAGCAGCAGCAGCTGCTGCTGCTGCTGCTGCTTCTGCTTTTGCTGCTGCTGTGCCACTCCCGAGAAAGCATTTCTGCATGCCTATTGGGGTGTACATACACCAAAAAACACCCGGAGTGAACGGAACTTTTGTTTTCTGAAATAAAACATTTCCATTTAGGATTATAAAGATGAGAGAAGCAGCAAAATCCAAAGAAGCAGCAAAGTTCCTTGCGAGGGCTTTTAGAAGCAGCAAAATGATGCAGAGTTGTGCGCTGGCTTCCACTGCATTTGGCATTCAAATGAAACAAATTGAAAGAATTTAAAAAGACCAAGACCGGTTCTGAAGGCCAAAAGCTTTCCACTTTCTTGTTAAGAAGTCTTTGGTTTGAATTTCCAAAAAATAAATCATTTGACGGCGACGAAGCGGAAATTTGCAAACAAGCGGGACAAGGAGTGCGGTGTACGTACACCGGAACCTTGCACTTCTAAGTGGCGATTGGTTGCAGCTTTGCATGCAGCTTTGCATGCAGTTTCGCATGCAGCTTTGCATGCAGTTTTTCATGCAGTTTTGCATGCAGTTTTGCATGCAGCTTTGCATGCAGTTTTGCATGCAGCTTTGCATGCAGTTTTGCATGCAGTTTGCATGCAGTTTTGCATGCATCTGGAAGTGCATTTGTTCTCAATCATCGACTTTCCCACTTTTAATTTCTTTTCTTGCTGATGGAGCGCATGCAAAGAAATGCATTTTTGTGTTTCTTCCTTTAATTATGTGCGCAGATATTTGCGCATGCAGAGCCCTTTTACTTCAATAGATTTGAAGGTGGAAATATAAATAAAATCATAAATGCACAAATGCTTGTTCGCGCATTTGCATGAGGCCACGGTGTACGTACACCTCACTGCTTGCACACTAACGCATGCAGAAATAAGCAGCTGGCGTAAACGCATGCATGCATTTAATTAAATAAATGCACAAACAAATGTATATAATTCATATTCATGTTTTAAATGGATTTCTCCTGTCTTTTTAAACAAAAACACCTGTAGAGAAACGCGAGCAAATCTGCTGCTATCTTCCGGGGTGTACATACACCGTCTTGGCTCCAACTCCAGCTCAAGGGGAATAATTTTATTAAATAAACACTTTTAAAGGAGTCAATAGCGCCAGATTATAAATTATTGGAAATTAAAAAAGAACCAGAGACAAACAAAGCAACAAATGGCAATAACGGCGAAGAGCTCTAAACGAATTGTTTACAATCTACCCAGAAGCAGCTGCTGCAGCACCTGCAGCAGCAGTAGCAGTGCTGCAGCAGCAGCAGTGCAGCAGCAGCAGCAGCAACTTTTTGCGCTATTTTCTTTGGGCTGTTCTGCGTAAACGAGATTCAGAAATAATTATTATTAATACGTCAGGAACTCAGGAAAAATTTGCATTTTTAAAAGTTGCATTTTAGCTTAAAGGGAATATCAATTCAAAACGCCTGTGCACATTCGCCTTTAAGTGCTGCGCTGCTGCTGCTGCAGCAAAACCAGCAGCAGCTGCGTCAAGTGCTGCTGCAGCAGCAGCAGCAGCAGCAAAACGGTTGCGTTTGCTTCCCACAAAAATCAAAAAGTAAAGCTACGAGGGCTTTCATCCCTGAGGTGTACAGACAGCTCGCGGGGCCCCTCTTTAGGGGCGCCATCGAGGTGTACATACACCTCAACCACTTTCCGCAAACTTCGTCTGCACAAACCTTTCTAAACATTAAAAGAATAAATTATCCAAAACGGTGCATGCACTCTACAAAAATGCTAAAAGGCGGAGACAGAAGCAACTGCTGCAGCAGCAGCTGCTGCAACAGCTGCAGCCGCAGCAGCAGCTGCTGCTGCAAAAGCTGCAGCTGCAACAGCTGCAGCAGCAGCAGCTGCTGCTGCTGCTGGCTAGATGCTTCACAACTCGCTGTGAGTTGTTGTTAAAAGCTGCTACCAAATGTTGCTTCGCTTGCTTTTGTTTCACTTGACTTTCAAATCCGGAGCAATTGCTTTTATTTATTTATTTATTTGTTTATTATTTATTATTTTATTTATTTATTTATTTATTTAAATTAAATTTATTTTTTTACATTTTGGGACTTTCTACTTGCGCCCTTATGTTGTGCTCCCCGAGGCGGCCAATTATTTCCTCCAGGCGACTCAGACCGCCAGAATGCCTTCGAATCAAACAGCAGCAGCAGCAGCAGCAGCAGCAGCAGCAGCAGCAGCAGCAGATAAAGCCAACAGCAGCAGCAGCACGAGGCAGAGTTAACACGGAAAGCAGCAGCAGCAGGCGAAGAAAACAGCAGCTGCAGCAGCACCAGATGAAGGAAACAGCAGCAGCAGCAGCAGCAGCAGTAGTTCATAAAGAAAGCAGCAGCAGCACCCGGCAAAGAAACCAGCAGCGCAGCAGCAGCAGATGAAGAACACAGCAGCAGCAGCAGCAGTGACAAATAAAAAGGCAGCCGCTGCTGCTGCTGCAGCAGATGGAGGAAACGGCAGCAGCAGCAGCAGCAGCAGATGAAGGAAGCAGCAGAAGCAGCACCAGCTGTGGTAAAAAGAGAAAACGGTGGCAGCACCCGCAGCAAAAGAAGGGAATAGCCGCAGCAGCAGCAACTAAAGGAAACAGCAGCAGCAGCAGCAAACACTTAAAACAGCAGCAGCAGCAGCAAACACTTAAATGCACAAAAACAAAACTATTCAGAATATATATATATATATCACAGATATCAAATGCACATGAACATTTAAATAGCAGCAAAGGCGAATACGGAGAAAACGGAGCTAGCCCAAGAATGCCACAGGCTGCTGCTGCTGCAGCTGCTGCAGCAGCTGCTGCTGCTGCTGCTGCTGCAGCTGCTGCTGCAGAAAAGACGTACCGGAAGGAAACCTTTGCTGCGCCAGTGCACTCATTGGTAATGGGGTCAGCGCTGACGTAAATTTTCAAAGAAGGACATTTCGATGCTGCTGCTGCAGCACCGCTGCTGCTGCTGCTGCTGCTGCTGCTGCTGCTGCTGCTGTGGGCTCGCTGCACTATCCTGAAGATGTCCTGCTCTTGAATTGACCGCGGCAGCCCGGAAAGCGAGAGAGTAACGAGCTGCAAGAAACAATTAAAGAGTTTATTTAATTAAAAAGGGAAATAATTCAAAAGTTTATTTAATTTAAAAAAGAAATAATTCAAAAGTTTATTTAATTTAATTTAGGTTGCAAAAATAAATCAAACAAATGCACAAAAGAAACGCGCACAGAGGCCCTAGGTCCTACGAGAGGCTTGTGAACCCTGTTGCTGCTACTGCTGCTGTTGCTGCTGCTGCTGCTGCTGCTGATGCTGCTAGTGTTGCTGCTCGCGCTGCTGCTGCTGCTTCTGCTACTGTTGCTGTTCGTGCTGCTGCTCCCATTTCTGCTGCTGCTTCTACTACTGCTGCTAGTGTTTTTCTTTGCTGCTGCTGCTAGTGTTGTTGCTGCTGCTGCTGCATAGAGCTGCGTGCTTTACCTGCACGTCGTCTTGCTGCTGCTGGCTGCTGCTGCTGCTGCTGCTGCCAGCAACACCCTCTGCAAAAACTCTGCTCTGGTGGTGAAACTGCTGCCCCTTTCCTGCTGCTGTCAGCTGCAGCAGCTCGCGCCGCTGCTGCGCAGCAAAGGAGGCGTCAGCAGGCTGCTGCCGCTGCAGCACAAAAAGCACAAATTAATAAAACAAATTTTATAAATAATTTAAATTTAAAATTAAAATTATTTCCAGTAGTTCTTAAGGCTATGCTGGCGGCTGAATAAGCAAGCAGGTGGTGCGCCCCGCGGCTGCTGCTGCTGCTGCTGCCGCTGCTGCTGCTGCTGCTGCCGCTGCTGCTGCTGCTGCTGCCGCTGCTGCTGCTGCTGCTTGCGCTGCTGCTGCTGCTACGGCACAGGCGAGGCTTATACGGCATACAAATAAACACGCAGCATGTCCGGGCTGCATGTTAAGCCGCACTAGCAGCAGCTAGCCGCAGCAGAGGGAGGTAAGAGCAGCAACAACTGCAGCAGCACCAGCAGCAGCAACTGCAGCAGCACCAGCAGCAGCAGAAGCGTCAAGGGGGCTTACAGCTCTCGAAGTCGGCAGCGGCGGCAGTGTGCCCATGTCTATGGCGGACCTCATGGCCCTTTGAAACCTGCGAATAAGAAGCCGCAAACGCTGCTGCTGCTGCTGCTGCTGCTGAGCTGCTTCTGCTGTTGCTGTCGCTGTTTGTGCTGCGCTTGCTGCTGCTGCTGCGAGCACTCCTGCTGCTGCTGCTGTTGCTGCTGCTGCTGTTGCTGTTGCTGCTGCTGCTGTAGCTTACCGTTCATGAGCCGTTATATCCGTCTTGGAGGCCAGAGAGCGCTGAGTGTCTGGACATCCATCTGCTGCAGCTGCAGCAGGAGCAGCAGCAGCAGCAGCAGGAGCAGCAGGAGCAGCAGCACGGGGGTTGGGCGTTTCTCTGCCAAAGAGGTCAGAGAACTGCGGGTTCGAAAGCTGTTGCTGCCTTCTGTACTTATCTGCCTGCAGCAAGGGGCAGCAGCAGCAGCAGCAGCAGCAGCAGCAGCAGCAGCAAATCAGCTCTTCAAGCAGCTTCCTCGTTTCGGGATTCTCTCTTGCTGCTTTTCTCGCGGTGTATGTACAGCACCACGCTGCAGGCATGCTGCACTTATATGCGAATCTACGAGGCAGCAGCAGCAGCAGCACAAGCGGCAGCAGCAGCAGCACAAATGGCAGCAGCAGCAGCGCAGGCGGCAGCAGCAACAGCACAAGCGGCAGCAGCAGCAGTGCAGGAGGCAGCAGCAGCAGCACACGCAACGGCTGCAGCAAAAGCAGCAGCAGTTACAGCAAAGGACTAGCGGAAACGCAGCAGCAGCAGCGGCATTACGAGCAGCAGCAGTAGCACGAGCAGCAGCAGCAGCAGCAGCAGCAGCACGAGCAGCAGCAGCAGCTCTTACCTCTTTATTGATAAGGCAGCAATCGTTGGTTCGCAGCTGAGGTGTATGTACACTTGAAGCATCATTGGGCGACGGAGGCCCAAAGATGCTGCTTTGGTTTTGCAGCAGCCGGCGCTCCCTCGCGCTGCAGCAGCAGCTGCTGCTGCTGCTGCTGCTGCTCACGCTGCTGCTGCTGCTGACCGCAGAACGAGGCGTGCTGCAGCAGCTGCCCTCATCTGACCGCCGAGAGCTGCTGCAGCCGCAGGGGCCCCCATGGGGGGCCCCCCGGGGGGCCCCCGAGCTAAACCATTGACAGTCTCCTGGCAGCAAACCCCCAGACCCTGAGGCGCAGCAGCAGCAGCAGCAGCAGCAGCAGCAGTAGCAGCAGCAGCAGCAGCGTGGGCACCCCCAATTCACACAGCTTGGGACTCTTGCTGCTGCAGCAGCGAAAATTTGCACGCCCTAAACCCTAAACCCCCAATCCTAAACCCTAAACCCTAAACCCTAAACCCTAAACCCTAAAATATAGACCCTAAACCCTAAACCCTAAACCCTCAGCCCTGAAGCTTGGACTGACTGGACTGACCAACGTAGTGCTTTCTGGGTTCCGCTTTTTTGCCCATAAGACTGAGAGGAAAAGGAGCCTCCTGCTCCTGCTGCTGCTGCTGCTGTTGCTGCTGCTGCTGCTGGGGGCTGCTGCTGCTGCCGCTGCTGCTGCTGCTGCTGCTGCTCTCCGTCACAGGCAAAACTGCCCCTGTGCTGCGCAAAGAGTCCAAAAGCTTCGCGCGGCTGCTGCGGCGGTCTTCTCGCGGCTGAAAGGGGCCGCAGCGGCTGCTGCTGCTGCTGCTGCTGCTGCTGCTGCTGCTGCTGCTTCTGGGCATGTTGTAGCAGCTGCCGTAGACGCTGCTGCTGCTGCTGCAGTCTGAGCCCCTCGGCGAGGAGAGGTAGGCAGGCGCCTGGTCTGGGGAGCGCCAAGCTGCTGCTGCTGCTGCTGCTGTGCCTGCTGCTGCTGCTGCTGCTGCTGCTGGAACAGCATCTGTGCTGCCAGCAGCAGCAAGGTCCTCGCTGCCGCATATGTGGGCGTGGTGCTGCTGCTGCCGCTTCTGAAATGCTGCTGCTGCTTCTCTCTCACTGAGCTGGTAGTTCCCCCCGTAAGAGCTTCCAGCCGCACGCTGCTGCTGCTGCTGCTGCTGCTGCTGCTGCTGCTGCTGCTGGGGGTAGTAATTGTAGGGCTGTTGATTGCAGGGGTTGTGCTGCTGCGGATACAGCTGCTGTTGTTGCTCGGCCTGCTGGTGCTGCTGCAGCTGCTGCAGCTGCTGCAGCTGCTGGTGCTGCTGCAGCTGCTGGTGCTGCTGCAGCTGCTGGTGCTGCTGCAGCTGCTGGTGCTGCTGCAGCTGCTGGTGCTGCTGCTGCTGCAGCTGCTGCTGCTGCTCATTGAACTGCTCCTGCCTGCCGTTCAGGAGCATCTGCTGCTGCTGTTGGTCCTGCTGCTGCTGCATCTGCTGCATCTGCTGCCGCTGCAGCAACTGACCCTGCTGCTGCTGCTGCTGCTGCTGCTGCTGCTGCTGCTGCTGCGATAAAGGCAAGCCCTGAGTGTCATAAGACAGGTGGGTCGCTCCCCTGTAAGAGTTTTGCTGCAGCAAAGGGGGCCCTTCATCTATCCTGCAGAACCGGTGGTTGTTGCTGCTGTTGCTGCTGTTGCTGCAGCAGCTGCTGCTGCTGCTGCACGGATGAGGGGTCTCCGGCCCTCCAGACATGTCTGAGGGGCACCTCTGCGCGTTGCTGCTGCTGCTGCTGCTGATACCGTAGGGCAGCTGCAGCTGCTGGGGGCCCCCCTGAGGCCCCAGGGGCCCCAGGGGCCCCTTGAGCCCCTGAAACCCCGGGGCCCCCGGGGGCCCCTGCTCCCCTTGGGGGCCCTCGGGGCCCCAGGGGCCCTGAGTCCCCTGGGGGCCCTGGGGCCCCTGGGAGCTCCAAGGGCCCCCGGGGCCCCCCGGGCCCCCGGGGCCCCCGGGGCCCCCGGGGCCCCCGGGGCCCCCGGGGCCCCCAGGGCCCTGGGGGCCCCAGGGGGCCCCCCCAGGGGGCCCAGTTCGGATTCTTGTGCCCGTGTTTGGGCTGGGGAGGGGCAGCGGCAAAGAAAGGGGAGGGCAAGTGGGGTTTGCTGCAGTGTTTGGGCGTGGGTGTAGGGGGGGGGGCTGCAGGGGCATCTTGGCTAGCTGTGGCTAGCTGCAGCTAGCTGCTGCGCCGCAAAGAGGGGCCCCTTTAGACAAGGGAAGAAGCAGCAGGAAAGCGGAGAAGAAAGAGGGGGCGGAAGGGGGCCCTGCTGGGGTGTATGTACACCCGACCGCAGGCGACAGCGGTGGAGGCCCGCGGGGCATCCGGGGGGCGATGGGTGGAAGTCTGTATTTGCTGAAGTTTGGATTTGCAAGCAAATAAATTCATTAAAAAGCCAAGGACAAAATGAAAACAAGCCTGGAAGCCAAAACTGAGAACTACACCGGCAAGTGCAGCAGCAGCAGCAGCAGCAGCAGCAGCAGCAGCTCATTGCGTGGGCAGCTGCTGCGCCGAGAGAACGTAGTGCAGCAGCGGGAAAACTTAATCCTTCCGCACTTTTAAATATTAATTAATTTTTCGAATTTAATTGCCGGTTTTTTTTCCCACTTGGAGGCGTTTTCACACGGCATTTGCTGCTGCTGCAGCAGCAGCAGCAGCAGGCGGCCGCAGCAGCACAGCATTGAAGAAGCCGTTCTCTGGAGATCTGCCGCATTTTATTGTTTTTTAACTTTGTTTTTATTTTATTTTTATATTTTTGTCTTTTTATTTATTTATTTTTCCCGAAGTTCCCTTCCAAACCCTCCTTTTGCATGCACACCACCCCCAGCCCTCAGACAAACTCCGAACTCTAACAAATCTTTCTGCAGCAAAAACCTCAACTTCGTTTGCTGCAGTTCTCTTCCAATTAAATTCATTTTTAATTTATTTTTAATTTATTTTTAATTTATTTCTTTTTTATTTGCTGCAGTTCTCTTCTCATTTAATTCATTTTTAATTTATTTCTTTTCCAATTCTTTCTCTGAAGACTCCCTTAAAGAGAACTCGGCAAAGAGGCCAACAGCTCTCTTCGGCATCTGCTCGCCTAAGAAATAAATTTAAAAATAAATAAATAAATAAATAAATAAATAAATAAATAAATAAATAAATAAATAAATAAAATTCTCATGTGGCTAGCTGCAGCCATCTGCTGCAGCTAGCTGTAGCTAGCTGCAGCTAGCTGCAGCTAGCTGCAGCTGTCACCAGCTAGCTACGCTCACCTGCAGCTAGCTGCAGCCTCCAGTTTGCTGCGGCTGCCTTAAGCTAGCTGCATCTAGCTGCAGCTAGCTGCAGCTAGCTGCAGCAGAGTACAGCTAGCTGCAGCTAAATGCAGCTAACTGCTAACTATGGCTGCAGCAAGCCACAGCTAGCTGCAGCCAAATTTGCCGCAGCTAGCCACAGCTAGCCACAGCTAGCCACAGCTAGCCACAGCTAGCCACTGCTGGCTGCAGCCAGCCACAGCTAGCTCCAGCTAGCTGCAGCTAGCTGCAAATGGCCGTAGCTAGCTGTAGCTAGCTGCAGCTAGCCACCAGCTAGCCAAGCAAGATTTGAGTCCTTGGCGTTCCTTAGGGCTTAATTGTTTATTTCTATTTCCACTATTTGAATTAATTTAATTTAAATTAATTTAATTTAAATTAATTTAATTTAAATTACTTTAATTTAAATTAATTTAAATTAAATTAAAATCCATTTAAACTTCATTTCTCTTTTCAATTCAAATTGGCCGATTTGTAAAAAGGAAAAAAGAAACGGCAGCAGGAGGGCCCCAGGGGCCCCTTGCTGCTGCTGCTGCTGCAGCTGCTGCTACTGCCGCTGCTGCTGCTGCTGCTGCTGCTGTTGCTGCTGCTGCTGCTGCTGCTGCTGTTGCTGCTGCTGGAGTTTTTGCTGGACCTTGAGGGTATTGTTGAGGTGTACAGACAGCGTGGTTGTGGGGTCTTGTTGGAAACAAGTCAAGTTCAAAACAGCTTGATAATGTTTTATTTCTTTTTGTCTCATTTTATTTCTTTCTTTGCTGCTGAACTTCTTAGGGTTTGCTGAACCCAGGGGGGCCCCCCGGGGGGCCCCCCCCTTCGCAGCAAGTTCCTGCAGGGCCTCGCCCACGCCCTGCATGCTGTCCAGCGCGGAGGGCCCCTCTGCTGCTGCTGCTGCTGCTGCTGCTGCTGCTGCTGCTGCGCGCTGCTGCAGCAGCGCCTCCGCGTAAGCCCCAAAATTCCGCCGCCTTTCTGCTGCTTCTCTCTTTTCTAATCTTTTTCTTTGGCCCCTCGAGAGGCTTTCAATTTCAATACCCAAAAGTTCCTTCACGCGGCCATCCGGGGGCCCCCCGGGGGCCCCCGGGGCCCCCGGGGGGCCCCCCGGGGGGCCCCCCGGGGGCCCCCCGGGGGGTCCCCGAGGGACTGACTGGGGGCCTCCTTTTGCGCCCGAGCTCGACGCCCCAGCAGAAGCTGCTGCTGCTGCTGCTGCAGCCGCGGCTGCTGGTGCTGCTGCTGCTGCTGCTGCTGCTGCAGAGGAGGAAGGCATGCAGCCCACCTTCGAGAGAGGAGCTCCGTAGGGGCCCCCCACGGGGGCCCCGGGGGCCCCGGGGGCCCCAGGGGCCCCGGGGGCCCCGGGGGCCCCCCGGGTCTGATGGTACTTAGTTCGTTTGCGCCTGATTGGCTGCATTGGGGTGTACGTACAGTTCCTTGAGGCCAGGAATTGGGGAAAAGGGAGAAAAAAGAAGTTCCAGGAATTGAATTAACTCAGTTTGAATAATTTAAATAATTCAATTAATTTAATTTGGAGATAAAAGGGAAATAATGCAGATTTAAGACCCAGTTTTGGGTTTGCTGCTGCTGCAGTGGGGGCCCCTCAACCGCCGGGGGGCCCCCTCACCAAGAATTGGCAATTCGGGTCTTTTTTGTTTCCTTCTTTTTATATTTTGGGTCTTTTATTTCAAATTAATTCGCAAATTAAACTCAAAATGCAAACACAAACGCACAGGGCCTCCGTGGGGCCCCGTGGGGCCCCAAGGGGGCCCCCCGAGGGCCCCCGTGGGGCCCCGGGGCCCTTGGGTAGCAGCGGGTTCTTTGGGGGGCCCCCCGTTGTCGTTAGCCTTGTTTGGGTCCAATTAGAGAGTTTTTATTTTGTTTTTCAAATTAAAAAAGAATATTTTTGAATTAATTGATTAAATTAAATTCGTTTATCAATTTAGTTTTCCACTTGCCAGCCATTTTAGCTCATTTCGTCTTCTGAGGCGCTCAGCCTCCAAGACAACCAGAGAGCAAAAGGCGCATTTGAGTATAAAACAGCCCCAAAGGATATTTTAAAACATTAATTATATAATTTTAATTATTATTTTACTTTTAAATCCATTTATTGCCTTAAGAGCCCGCAGCAGCAGCTGCAGCAAGCACTCTTGGGCAACTGTGCCCCCTACGGGTGTTTGCCACAGGTGTAGATACACCCCAGTTTGCGCCATTTTCGCCGTTTTTTTCTCTTTTTCATTTAAAAAAAAGTAACTAAAGTTCACTTTCGCCGCTTTTCTCTCTTTTTCATTTAAAAAAAGCAAATAAAGTGCACACTCGGCCTTTTTGAAGACTCAGCTCTAAGTCGCAGGGGCAAAACCCGCAAAACTGCACGTCAACGAGCCCTAGCCTCCACTGGGGCCCCAAGGGGGCCCCCATGTGGCCGGCCGGGGGCCCCAAGGGGGCCCCCCGAAGGTCCCCAGGAGGGCCCCCAAAAGGCCTCCCGGGGGCCCCAAGGGGGCCCCCCAAAGGTCCCCAGGAGGGCCCCCAAACGCCCCCCAGGGGCCTTCTAAAAGCGCTCGATGCGAAGCCCTTTAAATGCCTTCTGGGGGCTCATTGGGGGCCCCCAAGAAGACGGAGGAGAAAACTTGAGGGGCCTCTTTGGAGGCCCCTTGGGGGCCCTTAGAGGGGCCCCTCGGGGCCCCTTGAAGGGCCCCTAGAGGGGCCCCTTGAGGTCCCTTGGGGGACCCAAGAGCCACTCTAAGCTCGGCCAGGGGCCCCAAAGCGCACTTTTGAAGGCACGCTGAGTCCCCTGGGAGCCCCTGGGGGCCCCCGAGGGCCCCTGGGGGCCCCCAGGGGCCTCTCGGGGCCCCCATAGGGGGCCCCCAAGGGGCCCCAGCTGAAGCCTTTCAGCAGCAAAAAGGGGCCCCCAAATCCCTGGCTTGAAGATGGCATTTGGGCCTTCTAGTTAGCAAGCGTCACAGCGCCACAAACAGCCGCATGCGTAAATAGCTAGCTGCACAGCTAGCTAGCTAGCTGCACAGCTAGCTAGCTAGCTGCACAGCTAGCTAGCTAGCTGCCTACCTAGCTAGCTAGCTAGCTGGGTAAATAAATACATGTAAAGGGATCACCTAGCCAGCCTTCTAGCTTCATAGCTAGCTAGCTAGCTAGCTAGCTAATTAAGGAGCTGACGAGCTGGCCAGCTAGCTAGCTGGCTAGCTAGCCAGGTAGCTAGCTAGTTGTGCCGGTCAGCTACCGGCTAGGCAGCCGGCCAGGTTGCTAGCTAGCTAGTCACCTAGCTAGCAACCGGGCCAAAAAGCTAGCCAGCAAGCTAGCTAGCCAAAAAGCTAGCTAGCTAGCCAAAAAGCTAGCTAGTTAGCTAGCTAGCTAGCCAGCTAGCTAGCTAGCTAGCTAGCCAGCTAGCTAGCTCCGGCCTCGGGTGCCTTATCTTCCTCTGGAGGGGCCTCTTCAGTTGGCGGCTGCGCAGACAGTCCAGACGCACTCTTGGCCCTAATTGCAAACCCTAAACCCTAAACCCTAAACCCTAAACCCTAATTCCTAATTCTTGTGCCCGGCGAGTCCACTGGCTGGCTAGCTAGGCGGCTAGCTAACCTGTTCCTTCTTGCAGATGTAAATGTAATGCACGTTGGATTTCTCCTCCACTTCAGCTGCAAACCACAAACCCTAAACCCTAAACCCTAAACCCTAAACCCCTTTGGCGTAAGCACAAACCCGCAAGCTGCGAAGCCTGGCCCCTGAATAGGAGGCTTCAAAGCTCACGCCGTGAATCCCACAAACCCTAAACCCCACACCCTAAACCCTAAACCCTAAACCCTAAACCCTAAACCCTAAACCCTCGCTACCTGGGGTGTTTAGAGAGGGTTTTTCGAGGGTTTGGAGATCAACAGTCCACTCAAATTCTTTTCTTTGCAAATGGTTTAGACGGAACATGGGAGAGCCGTAAGAAATCATCATGTAGACGCCTCCGGGCCTGCAAAACCCCAAACCCTAAACCCTAAACCCTAAACCCTAAACCCTAAACCCTAAACGCTAAACCCTAGGCCTGAGCAGCAATCTAACTCGTGATAGGCTTCATGGCGCATTCTTAGGAGCAGAGTTTAGGGTCTGGATCACTTGACGTTTGCGAGGGTTTAGGGTTTTAGGGTTTGTGAGGGTTTAGGGTTTGCGAGGGTTAGGGTTTGCGAGGATTTAGGGTTTGCGAGGGTTTAGGGTTTACTTGAGGATCTGAGATATGAGGGTGAGGGCTTTGTTGACGTTTTCAAATGACTTCTCGCCGCACTGCAGCAGCAGCAGCAACAGCAGCAGCAGCAGCAGCAGCAGCAGAACCGCCGCCATAAGGCATAGCAGCAGCAACGACAGCAGCACGAGCAGCAACAGCAGCAAGACAGCCCCCCCGGTGAAGCCTTGTGCTGCAGGCGTCCCTAGGGTTTAGGGTTTAGGGTTTAGGGTTTAGGGTTTACTAGGATGCAGTCCAAAGTCCCCTTATCTATAACAAAGTCAAACCCTCGCCTCTCCAGCTGGTCCAACTCCAGCACATTCAAAACAGTAACTGCAGCAGCAAAAGACACAAGCAAGCTTGCTGCTGCTGCTGCTGCTGCTGCAGTTGCTGCTGCTGCAGTTGCTGCTGCCGCAGCTGCTGCTGCTGCAAACCCTAAACCCTAAACCCTAAACCCTAAATTCCGGGACTTGAACACACACACAAACTCTCCACACTCGCTGACGCTACCGCTGCTGCTGCGGCGGCCTCGCTGCTGCTGCTGCTGCTGCTGCAGCAAATACTAGAAAGTGCGCCGCAGCAGCAGCACCGGGGCCTCCTCAGCAGCAGCAGCAGCAGCAGCAAGAGCAACAAACACTTTCAATGCAGATGCAGCAGCAGCAGCAACAATCTACAGAAATACAGCCTGCCACTTCTACCTGCTATGCTGCTGCAACAGCAGCAGCAGCAGCAAGAGCATCAGGAGCAGCAACAGCAGCAGCAGAATCACAAAAGCAGCCATGGAGTTATGAGAAGCAGCAGCATTCAGAAGCTGCTCCGCAGCAGCGATACCGCAACCTCCACCGTAAGCAGCAGCAGCAGCAGCAGCAGCAGCCTCTGCAGCAGCAGCGTCTGTTGCAGCAGGAGCAGCAGCAGCTCCTGGTGCCACAGCAGCAGCCCCAGCTCCTGCTGCAGCAGCAACAGCAGCAGCCCCAGCTCCTGCTGCAGCAGCAACAGCAGAAGCCCCAGCTCCTGCTGCAGCAGCAAAAGCAGCAGCCCCAGCTCCTGCTGCAGCAGCAACAGCAGCAGCCCAGCTCCTGCTGCAGCAGCAACAGCAGCAGCCCAGCTCCTGCTGCAGCAGCAACAGCAGCAGCCCAGCTCCTGCTGCTGCAGCAATAGCAGCAGCCCAGCTCCTGCTGCAGCAGCAACAGCAGCGGCCCAGCTCCTGCTGCAGCAGCAACAGCAGCAGCCCAGCTCCTGCTGCTGCAGCAACAGCAACAGCCCCAGCTCCAGCAGCAGCAGCAGCAGCAGCAGCAGCAGCAGCAGCAGCAGCAGCAGCAGCAGCTCACAAGTCATGCCGGGTTTGTCTGCGCATCTTTGCTGCATGATGTTTATACACTGCGAGGAGAAGTCGATGTTGGTGATGTTGCGGAAGCCGTCGTCCCAGAGGCTTTCGCTCATTGCTGCAGCAGCAAAACAAATTAATTTAGTTAATTAATTAATTTAATTAATTAATTAATTAATTAATTAAATGAATTAAATAATTAATTAATTTAATTAATTAATTAATTTAATTAATTAATCATTTAATTAATTTCATAATGCGCGCGGGACCGGGGTCAGCAGCTGCTCTGGGTAAGCTAGCAGCAGCAGCAGCAGCAGCAGCTGCTGCTGCTGCTGCTGCTGCTGCTGCAGGCGTAGCCTGGAGCGTAGCTGCAACCCTAAACCCTAAACCCTAAACCCTAAACCCTAAACCCTCACTGGATGTGCCGCATCCGAGCATGAGGATTTCGTGGCTTTCTTCGAGGCCCGCGGAAAGAAGAAAGGGTTTAAGAGCTGCATATTTGTTAAACCAGTCGAAGGGTTCAGGGTCCCTGCGCCGCAAACCCTAAACCCTAAACCCTAAACCCTAAACCCTAAACCCTAAACCCTAAACCCTGGGGAACAGCCGCAAGCCCGCTCACTTCTTGTAGCGCTCCTCCCAGTGGTCCAAAGACGCGTACTGCACCGCAGCCGCAAACGCCCAAACCCTAAACCCTAAACCCTAAACCCCAAACCCTAAACCCTAAACCCTAAAACGAGCACTGGCTGCCTCGCAGGGATCGCAACGGGGGCACTCAGGACGAGAGGGTCTACGAATTAGGGTTTAGGGTTTAGGGTTTAGGGTTTTGAACCGGCCTTACTCTCGTCATTTTCAAGGCGCACGTTGCAGCACGTAGGCGGCAAACTCTAAACCCCAAACCCTAAACCCTAAACCCTAAACCCTGAGCCCTACAGCTCAACGCCACACCACCAGAAACCGGGCCAGAGGGCTAGACCCTAAACCCTAAACCCTAAACCCTAAACCCTAAGCCCTGAGGGTTTGTTCAGGGGCGCGCAGAAGAGGGTAAGTGGTGGTTTGAGGTGTACAGACACCTCAACTTCTCCGCCTGGAGCGTTCAACCCTAAACCCTAAACCCTAAACCCTAAACCCTAAAACCTACACGCGACTCCCTAAACCCTAATCCACAAGAAGAAAACCCTAATTTGGTGTTTAATGTGGTTATTACTGAATATTAAATTAATTCGGCAAAGTCTAGCAGCAGCACCTAAACAGCCCAGCAGGGGCCCCCACGAAAGCGCGAGCCCCCAAACCCTAAACCCTAAACCCTAAACCCTAACCAACTAAATAGCTGCTTTGAGCTTATTTGAAGATATTTTATTCTATTATTTTGCTTTTGCTTGCAGTGTGCACGTGAAGCGACCCAACTCGACTAGACACACAACCACAAACCCTAAACCCTAAACCCTAAACCCTCAACCCTAAACCCTAAACCCTTGTTTTCGGGCGGCGG